GGCCGCGGGAGGGGAGCGCTTGCTGGGTCATTGGCGTGTGCGGGTGGCGGTGGAGGAAGGCGAGGTGTGTGGTGGGGCAGCCGAGCCCCGCGAGGGGGTGGAAGAAGGGCTTCCTCAGCCTAAAAGGCTGGGAAGAAGTTGGGGTGATTTCAGGAACATCTCTGTAAATTAATAGGAGTGGAAGTTTCCAGAAATATTTAGTGCAGCAGCATTGAAACGTCCGCCTGCATCACGTGGCCCTCGGTGGAGAGCTTGGGATGGGGGAGGGAGGGGCTCCTAAGTCCCTGCTCCTCCGGCGTGGAAACTCGAAAGCTCTCCGGGTTTTTTGTTGTTGTGGTTTGTTGGGGGGTGTTTTTACTTGGGGGGGAGGGTTTTGTATTTGGGGTTTTTCGCAAAGTAGGACGAGAAGTAGGAGAAATAAGTTAAGCTTTTGAGAGATCTGCGCATGGGGTTCAGTGTGGTAGTTTTCTTTCCTGGGGCTCGCGTGTATATACGTGAAGTTGGTCGAATCATTCACTCCGGGCAGCGTGTAGTGGGGGGATGCCCAGAGTCTCCTTCATTCTAGAGTCTTCGTAGTTTGGGGCGGAGGGGAGGAAGTGGTATAGTAGAGGAAGCCCAGGCCTCTTTTGATCGGGCTGAGGCCATGCTGCATTGAGATTGGGGCGGTGAACTTCGGGCGGCTGGTCTCCGAGCCTCCCGCGAGTAGGGGCGGGGTGAGTGCGTGCTCTGGGGAGCTATAGTTAGAAGTGCGGCAGCTCGCTTCGGGTGGGAAGCCTGGGGAGGGCGGGCCCTAGTGAGGTGTGTTTCTACTGAATGAAGCCGGCGGTTGCCCACACACCTAAGTGGCTGTCTTTTGGCTGTGTAAAAGCAGTCTGTTTTTCACCTTAGCGTGAAGTTACCATGAAGTAGCGGTTAAGACTTTTTGGGGGTTAGATGCGAGCTGGCAGGGTGTAGCCGTGGTAGGGAGTGAAGGTATTTTGGTAATCACTTGTAGAGTCACACCATTGCTAAATAATCCTTAGGATATGCAATTCAGTGAGTAGACTTGAAGATTGAAGGCCCCCAAGTAGGAAAAAGGAAGCGCTATGGTTCTGCCTCTCTCGCTGTTAGGAATGTTTACTGCCTCTCTGGTTCTGTGTCTTATGCATGTGGGACACTGTTGTGGAAGGAATGTTTTGGAAGCTGTTCGATTTGGGGGACTAAATGTGCTTGGCATTGACCACAAAAGCCGCCATTTCTGTATTACGTATACTTCAAGAATAGGTAGGTCATTTCGAAGATAACCGCTAGTTCTCAGGATGGCAAACTACTGCATTTTAAATGTTTCTCTTCTAAAACTGATTTTTCACTTAAACCTAACATGGAGAACTCCTAGGGACAATACTTGAAAGTGAAACTTTTTACAGGTCACTATTGATCTTTTTTTTTTTTTTTTTTTTAGCTGTAAGTTATGACATGGCAGGCGCAGGAAAGCTCATTTAATTTTTAATCCCCCCCCAAAAAAATCAGAACTTTTATATCCATCTTGATGCTTATTGGACATTGCTTTTTGCTTTAATTTTTAATATTTTTTTACTCTTATTTAAAGTTTTATAGCCTTTGAAGGTAAGGGAAGGTATACATACGTGTGTAGTTCAAGAATTTATCTTTCTGTATCGCTTTAGTTATGGTTTCTTTTGTATTGCAGGTACTAGTGCTATTAAAATGTTTAATTTTCCTTCAGCTTTTGAAGTATCATTTTTTTTGTCAGTAATGGACAGAAAGGCTCTAGAGGAATAAAAATATTTGTACTCTCAATATTTTGACTTATTTTACATTATAGCTAACCTGAGTGACTCATCATTTGGTCTAATGATTTATTGTGATTAGCATTTGTTTTGACATCTTTAAGTAAAAAAACATTTGCATTTAAATTGCTGCAGTTATGAAGACGTTTTAAAATGCTGTGGAATAGCCAAAAAATAACTTTTTCCTGTAGGCTAGTTGGTCCAAACACAAAGTAATCAACTTAACCATTCATTTCCTTATCCTGGATACTGTACACTAACGGTTTCATAGAAGCATTTCAAAGTGTCCAGAGTCCTCTTTAATCATATAAAACTGGGCTACAGTTAGGGTGTTCTCAATTCTGTTGCATCTTGACAACAACAAAAGAGGTCAAGAATTATAGATTGAGCCAGTCAGATTTTTGGCATTGTCTTTGAAGAAAAAATAGGAAAGATTTTTGTAATTCTAAGCAACTAAAAGTGTAGGTATATGCCTGAAGCATCTTAGGAGGATAAACATTGCACATGAAAACCAGTGTTTTACTATATTTAAGGCAAAGATTTCTTTTATTTGGAAACTTAAACCTTGTGAGTGAATACCTGAACATTTAAAAATATCTTCGGCCTATTACCATCGAGTATTTTTTCTCTAGACTATACAGTTGAGGAATGTACATGCTATGTACATGTAGATGTAAGTACTATTAATCTTTGAATGCAAATTTGAATGGGTTGAACTCTGTAGAGGTTAACAGAATTAGTATCAAGATTTATGAAACATTTGTTCTTCCTAATCACTGTTGTTTACACACATTTAAGGTTTAAAATCAATTGTACTGTTTTCAGCATATCTTAAACATATGTGAAGGGAACTGCTTATACTAAACCATTCAGAAGATTCTGCTTGTTGAGCCAAGGAGTATTCATTAACCCACCCTTGAAAATTTTGTAATCCAGATTAGTAACTATCTGTTTTTAGGACCCTAAAATCTTCTAGAGTAAGAAAATGAAGTCACTTAAAAATAGGTTAGTAGACTTTTTTAATATTAGACTTGTGAACTTTTTCTGGTCTTTAATAAACATTAGGAAGAATGGACCTTAGAAACTAATGAAGTTAAGGGGTTGATAAGTTATGTAGCTTTTGTTACTTGTGTTTATTGTTTTGTAATAAGTTTAGTCTCTCATACATCCTTTAATTAAAATATATGTAAGAATGTGGTTGAAGCAAAATAACTTGAGAAGAAAGTTTTTGACTGTTCATTTCAAAACTATATTTATGGGCAACTTCATTTTTTTTCTTTCAGTAATCTATGCCAGCAATTATGACAATGTTAGCAGACCATGCAGCTCGTCAGCTGCTTGATTTCAGCCAAAAACTGGATATCAACCTTTTAGACAATGTTGTGAATTGCTTATACCATGGAGAAGGAGCCCAGGTAAGGTGGCTGACCAAAACTTTATAACATTATCAGAATGCTAAGAAAGTTGTTGAGTAAATTAACCACTTTTTTTCAGAAGGTATTTTATAGTTTACATTAATTTGGAATTGTAAAGTACAGTGAATGTTGGTTTGGAGGAAGAAATTGTATTATGTTAAACATAGTTAAGACTGGAATACCATGGGATGTATTTGTTCTTTTTTTTTTGGTCGGTCGTGGGGCTTGAACGCTATTCACTCTTCAGCTCCTTGATCGCTCCACTGCTTGAGCCACACTGCCACTTCCGGTTACTTACCTGCCCGGGATGGCTTTGAACCTCCATCTGCAGATCTCAGACTCCTGAGTTGCTAGGATTACAGGCGTGAGCCACCAACGCCCGGCTTTGTTCTGTTCTTAACTTCAGAACCCTCTATTCTCTTTCATAAGACAGTCAAAAGTACACGTTTTGTTAGATATTAAGGGTCATATGTACCTTAACATGCTTGCAGTTAATACCACTGTTCTAAGGCACTTAAACCCTTAAACTACAGAATTACTTAAGATAGTTGTTTAAAAATCTACTATGAATAGTTCTGCATTATTTGAGTCTGGTGTACTTGTAAAAGTGGTACTATTAGTATAGAAAATGTAATACATATGCATATATATAAATAAATGGGATAAATATGAACCATGTTTTGATCAGTTTAAGGTTTTGTGTTATTTTTATACACCTAACTAAAAGGTAAGGGCTGGGGCTGTAGTTCAGTGATATGAGGTCCCTGGGTTTCACATCTATACAAAAGAAAAATAGGTGAGGCAAAAATGTGTATAAAATCTTTTTTTTTTTTGGGGTCCGGTCGTGGGGCCTGAACTCTGGGCCTGGGCGCTGTCCCTCAGCTCTTCAGCTGAAGG